TCCTCAGAGATACCACTGAAGCAGGCTCTGCGTGTCCTTCCACATCCTGAGATGCTCAAGTATGATAAGCTGCTACCTGAAGTTCTCTCTTTTGCCTTGGATCAACTTCTGATCTCGGCCCACAGGTTCTTCTTAATCCTGCTTTGGGTTTTTTCCATGTTCCCTTTGGATCTTTGCCTCACAGTACCCGCTAGGCTTTTTCCAGGGCCGTGGTTAGGACAATAACATGCAGAGGTGCTAATCTGGGGAGAGATTTGCATTAGGAACTCACTTTAGATAGCGCCATCCCTTTCCCTGAAGCATGGTGAAACCTCTGTGCATCCACAAACAGCTCAGCAGCATGTCAGCGAGAGGAGAGAACCAGCAGCAGTGCTGTTATACTCACCCAGAGGTGGTAAATCAGCTCATAAATTTGCAACTGTGAGGCCAGAAAACCTCACAGCAGAGATGGAGAGCAGAGATAGAGGCGGAAAAGACTGTGACAGAGAGCACAGCAGAATTTCTTGGTAAACTTAGGCAGTGTGGCACAACTCAGTTTTCTGGGAAGCTCATCATTTTTAACATTCAGGTCTAGGAATTGCCCTGCTCAGCACAGGACATGAAGTCATGTCTGGTGAGCCCCAAAGAAAACAACAGTGCTATGTGGTTGAGCCACAGGCTCCTCTCCCAATAGAAGTTTGAGATATCTTTTTGAAGTCTCTGAGCTGTGGAGGAAGCACCCATCAGCTGCTCCCATGCTAAACACCCTTGGTGTCAGGAAGATGTAGTTTGCTTCTGGTTTGAATGGATCACGCTCTAGATTCCAGTCACCAAAAGTCATTTGGTTTAAATGGATCTTGCCCCAAATTCCAGTCACTCTTCCACCTGCTGACAAGGAGAGCTTTCCAGCTGAAGCCCTCCTCGGTAGAAGGGCTGGCTGACTGAGTGGGAACCCACTGGTGTCTTTGCTTAACTGAGGGATGCTTTCCTACCTTCTACCTCTAGGTGAAAGTTTTCCAGGCCTTAGGAAATCTCGTCTTCATGACCTTCCTTCACGTTCTCTACCTCTTCTTAAATTTTTTTTTAATGCTAATCTGCAGGTCTCCATGAAGTTTCAAATATTCTCAGGAAAACTTGTCCATACATGTTAGCCCGTGCATGCATTTTAAGAGCATTTTAATATAAGCAGTTGCTGCTCTTCTTTATTCCCTGTCAGATCAAAGTTTGTTTATTTATCACTGGCTTTGTCTCCAGACACAAGAGGCAAATATCTAATGAGCATGTTTACCTCTTCTGCATCATTGATGATGATTGAAACCAACCATCCCTGTCTGCTAACAGTTCTGTACCATGTTTACAAATTCCATTGTTCCTAAGAGATGCCAAATATTCTCATTGCTCTGATCCCATTGTCCTTACATTTTCTACTTTTAGCTACCCATGTCAGTTTGGATGAACAGCAAATTCATGGTTAACAAGTTTTTCCCCCTTTCTGTCAAATACTTGGGAGGGAGGCATAATATGTGACATCCCCAGACCCAAGTGGGGCTGCCCAACGTTCAACACTCAGCAGATATCTAACAAACATCTCTTCACTGTGCACTCAGATGGATGAAATTACGCAGCAGCTGCTGCAGGGGCCCTGGGAAAGCTCTTTGAGCTGTGCCCCTCATCCAGTGCCTCTCACATGCCCTCAAATGCACAGCAACCCCCCTGCAGCCTCTGTGTCACACAAGCACATGCAGACCCTGCAGAGCCCCATTCCTCTGTGCAATTTGGCCAAGAGCCCAAGGTTTCTTTGGGACGGGATTTTTTACTTTGTTTTGGGGTTGTTTTCAGTTTCTAACTGAAGATGCATCTCTGCTGTTTGTGGCAAGGAATGACTCCCTCCTTCCCTTTCTCTGTCAGCCTTCTAGCCCTGCGGAATGATGAGGCAGTGCTGGTCCTGTGCTACGCAGTGCTGGAGGGAAATTGCCTCTCATCAATGATCACCACGGCCTGGAAGGAGATGGAAAAAAGAGTCCTTGGGTTCGGAGACTCGGTAAAGACACCAGTGTCCACCTCTGGTCCCCACTGTGCGCAGGCCACCTCCTGAGAGAAGCTGACCTGGCTGGCCAGGGCGGCAGGAACATGGGAACTCCTCAGCCTCCTCTGTGGGGAGGGTCTCAGTGTCCTTTTCCCCCCTGACTCCCCAGGTGTGTGACAACCTTGGGCGGCACCACACGGACCTGTGCCCCGACTGCGCCTTCTGCTCGCTGAAGAGGGAGCAGTGCCAGAACATCGAGAGCCTGAACCGCGTGCCCTGCGACTCGGGCGCCTTCTCCCCCTACATCAACCCCGAGATCTCCGCCCAGCACAGCTACATCCAGGCCCAGGTACCGAGCCAGCTCTGCCTCCTGCTGCTCTCTTCCTGCAGTGGGAGCTGGGGAGGGGCAGAAAGAAGCATGGCTCACTTTATCCCACCCTTTGCAGTCCACATCCTCGCAGAGCCTGAGTGACGACAACATGAACTTTCTGAGAGGGATGAGGATGGAGTACTGGTGCAGCCGGATGGCCATCTATGGCTGTAACGACCCTGCTGTGACCCTCTGGCTGAAGGCAGAGTATGAAACCTTCCCAGACATGGATAGCTCAGGAAAGGTGGGTGACCATCAGTGGATGCTCCCATCCCTTCTCCTCCTCTTCTTTCTCTGACCACCATTCCCTTGTCACCAGATCTGTGACTCGAGCGGGGTTCAGCACCCCAACTTCTGCATGTTCAAGAGCTACCAGTGCCTCCTGAACAGCATCTACAACGAGAGGGTGAGAAGCAGCTATGCTGCCTTTTGCACAATCTGCTCCTCCATGGCTGGCCCCTCCACAGCCAGCCCCAAGCCCCTGCTGGCCTCACTGGCCCACCGCTTTTCCTTCTAGGAGGACACAATGGGGTGTGCTTGGGGGAGGTGGGGAGACAAACAGTGGCCCAGCACAACTGGGGTGTCATTGCTGGGTGGGATTTGCACGGGTGATGTGAGAGATGATATCCCTTTATATCTCTGAAGGGCAGGATCTCCTCCATTTGCTAAGCAGTAGCAAAACCCCAAATCACCAGAGCAGGACAGAGGACTGGCCTGTATCCTAGCAAACACACAGTGCAGCTGTCAGTTCAGCTGGTCCCCCTCCCTTCCCCCTGGTGCCCTCATCATCCCAGCCTCCAGGTGCCATCCATCATGGAGATCTCTTTCCCTGGGGAAGGAAGGGCAGTGGCAGCAGCCCTACAAACCCAGGCTCTCTTTGGTTCTCCAGGTGGTTCGTGTGAAGTGCAGCCGTAACATGGCCTACCGGGTGCTGAGTGCCAGGGAGGGAGAAAAGGAGGTGCAGCTGTGGCAAGAGAGGTTCCAAAGCCTCACCAGGAAGCAACCACAAAAATGATTAAAGTTTGTAAAGACCTTCAAGATAGTCAAGGCCTATGACCAAATACCACCATGCCCTCTAAACCATATCACAAAGTGCCACAACCACTTGTTTTTTGAACACTTCCAGGGCTGGTGATTCCACCACTTCCCTGGGGAGCCTGTCCCAATGCCTGACCACCCTTTCAATGAAGAAATTTTTTTCCTAATATCTGCCTGAACCTCCCCTGGTGCAGCTTGGAGCTATTTCCTCTTGTCCTATCGCTGGTTTCCTGGGAGAAGAGACCAACTCCCACCTGGCTGCAGCCTCCTTTCAGGGAGTTATAGAGGGTGATCAGGGCTCCCCTGAGCCTCCTTTTCTCTAGGCTAAACAACCCCAGCTTCTTTTGCCATTCCAGACCCTTCACAGGCTTTGTTGCCCTTCTCTGGACACACTCCAGCACCTCAGTGTCTTTCTGGCAGTGAAGAGCCCAGAGCTGGACACAGCACTCCAAGTGTGGCCTCACCAGTGCAGAATACAAGAGGACAGTCCCTGCCCTGGTCCTCCTGGCCACACTATGGCTGATCCAGGCCAGGTGCCATTGGCCTTTGTGGCCACCTGAGCACAGCTGGCTCATGTACAGCTGCTGTCACCAGCACCCCCAGGTCCTTTTCCTCTGGGCAGCTTCCCAGCCACTCTGCCCCAGCCTGTGCTGCTGCCTGCGGTTGTTCTGACTGACAAGCAGAACCTGGAACTTGGCCTTATTGAACCTCACACTATTGGCCCCAGCCCATCAATCTAGCCTATACAGATCCTCTGCAGAGCCTTCCTGCCCCTCAGCACAGCAACACTCCCACCCTGATGTCATCCAGGAACTTAGCCTCAATCCCTTCATCCAGACCACTGATAAAGGTTTTACACAGGACTGGCCCCAGTATGGAGCCATGGGGAACCCCACTCGCGATCAGCTGGATGTAAATCCACCCAGCACCACTCTCTGGGCCCGGCCACACAGCCAGTTTTTGGCCCAGCACAGAATGCACCTGCTCAGGCTGTGGGCTGCCAGCTTCTCCAGGAGAATGCTGTGGGAAGTGGTGCCAAAGGCTTACTGAAGTCCAGGTAGAAGATAGCATGCACAGCCTTTCCCTCATCCCTAGGCAGGTCACCTGGTCATAAAAGGAGACCAGCTTGGCCAAGCAGGACCTGCCTTTTATGAACCCATCCAGGCTAGGGCCGATTCCCTGGCTGTGCTGCGTGATTGCACTTAGGATAACTCGTCCCATAACATTCCCTGGCACTGAGATCAGACTGAATGAGGGGAGCCTCACTGTGGCAGCTGCTGGAACTCCTCCTGGAAACATTTCTGCAGCCAAAGGAAAAGGCATGTCCAGAGACTGGGGAGGGACCAGAGACAGGGAGTCCCCAGATCCCAAACCCAGCATGTGAGCAAGAAGCTTTTGTGTGCACTTTGCTTTCCACTTCGGCTGGGTTTTTCCCCCAAGTTTCGTGGGGGGTTTATTTGACCTGTGTCCTCCAACCCTCCACCTGGAAAAATAATTCAAACCACACCAGCCCACGGCGGCTGGCGGGAGGCTGTTGGGGGAGCACACGGGAGCTGATGGCAGCCCTGGGCATCGACCCTGAGGGACTCACCGGGGCACTTCCCCGGGCTGCCGGCCCTGCCTGCACTTGACGGGGCAGCAGCAGCGGAACTGCAGCTGCAGCGCTCCCGCACCTCGGCCCGGGCCGGCCCTGCTCGCCGCCGTCCCTGGCCGGCCATGTCCCCTCGCACTGTGGGCCCGAGGTGCCGAGGGTGCCGTGCCCCGGGTCCCGCTCGCACAAGTCCGGGCTGGCCCGCAGGTGGAGCAGGCCGTGAACGGTGCAGGGCTTGAAGCGAGAGCTCCCGGGCACCAGGAGCTGGCGGGAACCCACCCGCTTTGGGAAAACCTCTGCTGTCCCCTCAGGCTTTTCCTTGAGGACGCTGCCCACGTGGCGGAAGGGAGGCAGGAGCTTCCATCAGGCTGGCACCTGGCAGGAGCCCCACACGCCATGGCATTACACTTCACCTTCATGTGGAGGAGAGCCACATGAAGGGCCCAGAGAGCCTGCGCAGCAGGAGGCAGCTGCCAGCCTGACCAGGGACACCGTTCCCAACACCCCCAGTGTGCTGCTGTTCCCCCAACAATCTGCCCATGGGGCTGGAGATCAGGGGCGGGAAGGGGAAGGGAAAGGGCAAAAGTGTATTTTTAATCCAGGCCCGTATGAACAGAAGGAGATGCACTCTGTGGGAAACAAGATGGTTTGGGTCTGTAAAATAAATCCCTGAGGCAGAGAGAGGGATGGAGAGCTGTTCTGGCCTGTGGGGCTGTGGGAAGGGGAACAGATCTGGCCAGAAGCGGAGGATGTTCAAGCGACCAGATGTGGCCAGAGGTGGAGGACATTCAAGGGACCAGATCTGTCTGTGGCCCCTGCACGTCTGTCTTTATTGAAGAGAGGCTGGAGGGGCAGGGAAGCCCTTCAGAACAGAACAGAGTAAATTATTTCCTGAATCATAGCTGGTGTCTGTGCAGAAAAGGAGACTGCACAGAATTGAGTAGGGAAGGCTGGGACACCCCTCCACACAGGCAGGAGCCGGCTCAGGGTAATCAGCGCAGTGTTTGGATAAGAAAGGCAGCAGGATGCAGATTCCTCTGGCTGCCCTGAAGTGCCTGCTGAGGTGTGGGGGCTGCACTGAGCTGTGCCGAGCCAGGGAGAAGCCCCTGCAGCCAGGCTGGCTCCCAGCCCTTGCTCCTGCCCTTACCTCCCCCCTGCCTCATTGTTGAGCGCCCGGCTGGAGGAGACACCACGGCTCCTCTCAGGGCTGCCCACGAAGGCCTGAGAGAAGGCAGTCCCATACACACAGGTTATCAGAGCTGGAAACCTGCAGAGGGAAAGTGGCCTTGTGACAAGGAAAGAGAAGCCCTGAGAGGATCTCCCAAAGATGTGTGGAGAATGAAAGTGTTTCTTTTCTGGCTTGTCTCCCCCATGGACCTTCCCCTCTGCCACCCCCTTCTTCCTTCACCTTCAGGCCTGACTCCTCGGACCCTGGGGTCGCAGCCACACCATCATGGGGGATGATGTGATCCCTGTGCAGCTCCCCCCGGCTGCAGGCACGGCTTACAGCAAAAGCAGTGCCGGCAGCGCTGGATGTAAGGGGACTCCCGTGTGCCTGCAGTGGGACAAGCAATAGCACCAGTCTGCGGAGGGCAAAGGCACTGATGGGCGGAGTGTGGGAAAAGAGGCTGTCACTGCATGCAGGAAGGGTGCCTTCAGATGGAGACTGCTCGGGAGAAATATATGTCAGGAAGTTCACCCCATGCAGCTGCTCCTCTGTGGCAGGGTGAGGAAGAAATTTACCAGTCTGCTGGTAAACTTACCAGAGCTGATACCAGGATGGTCCAATGGGACCAAAAAGCAAATCTGGTCAAATGGGAAGAAGTTTCTCCAGAATGCTAATGTGGAAGAAGACACTGGCCACTCTGGGGATGGGTCCAGTGCAACACTAGCCCAGGAAAGGCCGATGTGTCGAGGGGACAGTGGGCATACTGGAGGGACACCATGCCAAGCCTGCCCTCACTGACCTTGGATGATGGCCTTGCCAAAGAGCTGCAGCCCCTGCAGGGTGGAGCAGTTCCAGTGAAACTGGCGCTGGCACTCGAGGACAGCCAGATCCACGCCTCACTTCACCGCCTCCATGGCTTCACCGCCTCCATGGCTTCCACCTGCTGCTGGCAAATGGAGACCTGCTCTTCCTCCAGTCCCGTCAGGCCACAACAGCCCCTGGGGTCCCAGAGGACTGCCTGCAGGGAAGTCTGCTGGGGACCTATGGGGCAGGGCAGAGGTTCAGTTGCAGGTGGGCTAGAGCCAGGGCCTCACCTCTGCAGGACTAACCCTCTCTAGCCATATCTTAGAGCAGAAATGGGGCAGGGAAGGGGGCTGTAGCCATGTTGTCTGTGAATTGGGCATTCTTGCTGCCCATTCTGGTCTGCACCTCTTCAGCCTTATCATCTCTCTCCCTTCATGCTCCCAGAGATGCCCCTTCTGCTTTTTGGTTGCCCAGATTCCTTCTTCCACCCTGTTCTCACCCTATTTTCTTTGGAGACAGCAGCTCCCTCGGTGGCTTTCCAACCCAGACAATCCAAGCACAAAGCATACTTACAGCCAGTATAAGCGATGTGCTGCACGTGGATCAGCATCAGATACAGCCACACCAGCTCTATCCTGTCCCTGCCAAAACTTCACCACCTTCAACTTCAGCACTGCAGCTCCTGAATCCCCTCCTGTGGCTTTCCACAGCCTCTGCCCAGCAGTGGCTTTCACAGCAGCCCCAGCCCAGCACTGCAAAGCCGGGGTAGCCCCAGCCCTGGGCAGTGTCCATGGGCTGTCCAGGTGTGCCTGCCAGCAGCTGAGACCCTGTGGCCTGCAGAATCCTGCTGGGTTGGCCCTGAGGTCATCCACACCTGTGCTACAGCTTGGGCAGCATGGTGGGAGAGCTCTGAGCTGGAGCTCTGGGGTGGGCATCCATCACAGGGAGCTCACATGGGTGGGGACAGCATCTGTGTCACACGTGTGGCCTGTGCCATCCTGTCAGGAGATGAGGTGGTTGTCCTCCTCCACAGTCCAGTCACTTCTTCAGCAGGAGGCAGCCCAAGACCTGCTCAGCAGCAGACAGAGCCTTCTGCACAAGAAGAGCCAGAAGTACCAAGCAGCTGTTGCCAGACCCACCAGCTTGTCACTGCTTTGTCACCAAACCTTTTGGAGACACAGAGAGTTCCCCTGCAGTGACAGCTCCTGGGAGCAGAGAGGGGAAGACCTGCTGCCTCCCTCATCCACATCCACTGTTCTTGAAGACACTCCCTCATCTGCCTCCTCCAGGCTGGAGGTTGCTCTTTTCTACCCTGCAGCCCACACAGCTACAGCAAACAGACACAGCCCAGCTGCTCCCTGCCTCTCTTAACTCTTTCCCTGGCAAGTCTCTCTTCTCCTCCCTCATTTTCTTCCCCATGGACTGTCCTTTTCCAAGATCAGCCCTTGCCTTTCTCCTAGGAGGCACAGCAGGGTGGCTGCCCCCCTTCTCATTGGGTACTCCTTTCCTGAGTGCCCCTGGAAGCCCAGGAAAATGTGAGCTGTGTGACCAGGGAGCTGAAATGGCCCGGGACAAAAGACTGCCATTGCCCCAGCCAGCCTGGGAAGTGCCAGCTCTTCCCACTGCCATGGAAGGTAAAACTCCTCTGCAGCCACAGGTTTCTGCTTTTCCTGTCTGAATCATTCAGAAAGTGAAGCAGGGCTGTTCTGGCAGTGTTGTGCTTCTTCCATAAAGGGTTTCACCCCTTTGCTCTGCTCTCCCATATTCTGCTGCACAAAGAAGTCTGAAGAGCACTGTGGGTTATCAGTCATCCTTTCAGACCTGAGCAGCCTCTCTCTTGTAGTGTGCATTTCACCTCCTTCCTTGCCTTCCCAGCTCCCTGCATCCTTCCCCCTGCTGGGTCCTTGCTCCTGCTTTCTGGAGCCAGCACTGCGGGGTGGCAGGCGTGTTGGGATTTGCAGCATTAGGGTGTAGCCTCCAACACACACCCCAGTAATCTGGTCTTACCTGCTGCTCACTCAGACAGCGGTGAGGAAACGCCGGGGGTTGAGCTGCTCTGCCCCACGAGCCGAGGCTCCAGGAGACAGCCAGGGGCAGATGTGTGAGCCCACCCTGCTGAGGGGACACAGAGCTCGTGGGCTGGGGCACCGAGACCCGGGGAGGTGAGTGAACCTGGCGGGGTGAGGATGCTGTGGGGCTCGCGGGCTGGGCTGGGTGCCGTTGTGTCCTTGTCTGCTCACACATGGAAAAGCCAGGTCTGTGCTCATGTGTGTGAGGGGTGAGGGCTGCCGGGGAGGGGGGAGTTCCCACAGAATGTGTCAGACACTCCTTAGGCAAAGGACACCCCCCGTGGCATATCTGCAAGCCTTTATCAGTAGCAACACCTTGACGGGAACTGAAGAGACACAAAAAGCCACGAGAACAAAGATCCCAGCAACGAGCAAGTGAGAAAAGGGGTCTGGCTAAAAAGGAGAGGCACTGAAAAGAAGCAGCTCCATGGTTCGGGTGCTATTGTGGCCTCCAAGGATTTATGAGCAGCAGGAGCATATATATCCCTTGGTGTGTCATTCCCTGAATGAGGAGTCAGTAGCAGCAGAACAAGGGAGGCAGGGAGTGAGAAAATCAAACAGCAGCAGGCAAGGGCTGCAGAGAAGGGGAGCCCACAGCAACTTCCCAGGGCAGCTGTTCTTGGGGCAGGACGACAGTGGGATCAGGAGTGTCACCATGACTTGTGTCTTCTTCCAGGTGTGCTGAGACTGGCAAAGCAGAAATAGGACTCGAAGCAACAGAGTGCCAGATGGGCTCTGCACAAGGGCAGCTCCCTTCCCAGCTACACGTGGCAGTGCCGGGTCACAGATGTGCTGGTAAATCAGCCCTTGTACTTTCATAGCACTGTGCCTCCTGTAGCCTTGAACACCAGGGACTGAGGTTCGTGGCAAACATGCCTTTGCTTGCCACAGATAATGACACGTCTCCGGAGCCTGGTTCTTTCTGGGATCCTGCCACATGCCAGTGGTGCACAGCTGGGCCCCCAGGCAGGACTTCAATCCCAAAGCCCCCTAGCCCATGGGAGTGACAGGATTCCAAGTCTTTGTGCAGGCTAGCAATTAAATCAGCTTGTCTCTCACTTCCCATATTTCACTTCTACCTCCGGTTTAGCAGTATTTTGGGGAGAGGGATGTTTTATTTCCCCTCTGTCAGTCCTGGGGGTGGCTGACTTAGCAAGACGAGCAAATATTTGGCACTATGACCCAGGGCAGGTCTCCTGAGTTGCAAGGACACCTGGGTACTGCTTCTTTCATGATTGCATTTGCTCTTGTAGGATGTGGTTTAGCTTATCAGCCCTTGATAACAAAGTTCATGCTTTGTAGCCAGGCAGAAGTGCATCAGGAAGTGAGAAAGGAGAAGAGACAAACTGCAGCATGCCAGATGCAGAACCAGCCGCAGCGCAGTAGGGGCCAGCTGTGATTTGGATGAAGATTTGCCCGGTTCTGTTTTGATCCAAGCTGCTTTGTGGGTTTGGGGCCCGGATCGAGACCTCTGCGGAGGCAGCAATCACCGAGCTCCAACCAGCCAGCATCCACACTTGGCTCTTCTCCAGCAGTGAGGTAAGGCAGGGGAACATCTGGAGGGCTGGCTGCGCTGGCACCCCGGGTACTGGTCACCGTGAGCTTCTCTGTGTGTGCTGCCAGCCTGGCCACGGTGCACTGGGGGACATCTGCCCCTCGTCAGTGGCCCCATGGTCCTAGAGGGGCAAGGCACATCTCTGTATTTATTCAAACTGAGGCTTTCCTTGGGATCCTGTGATACTAAAAGCATGGGCAGCCTGCAGAGCTTACTTGCCAGGGTGCCTGCCATGGGAGCCCTCTCCCACGGGACCCTCGGGAGATGAGGAGGAGCAGCATCTCTAAGGAGGAGGCAATAGCTGTGTGATCAAACCTCATGAGTTAAATACAGAGGTCTCAGCTTTTGTATCATGTACCTCTCTTTAAAAACAAGCCATCCTAAAACTTGAATGTCTTCACAAAATCTAATCAAATCATCACAAAAATCTAATTTTTTGAGTAGACAAAAAGATTAAAAGTGGGGCTTGAATATCACCTGCCGCAGGTAAAAAGCACCCAGATTTATTTAAGAAAACATGTCTCCGATTTCTAGAGTAAAATCGGGTATGTTTTCTGAGGTTTGACACATTTTTGTTGTTTCCTCTTTGGTTTCAGAATAAGTAAGCGAGCTCATACAGTTTGTGTTTTGAGTTCTGCACCCCAATGCCACATTTGTTCTCTGCATTCTCACTGGAGCCCCAAAACTCCCCATGGTTTTAGTGACAAGCCACTAACAGAAACATTGATCCTGCAGCATCCTCATCAGTATTTTTCCAGCTCTCTTTTTCCACCTCATTTCTCAGCCCCATACTCAGATTCTTCATCATTTTTGTGGTGCTTGGAGGCAGTGACTCCTAGTGAGACAGTGAGACAGGAGAGAGAGGATTCCCAAGACCGGGCAGCAAGATGCCAGGCACACATCCCGTCTCAGGGCATGCCTGCCTGTTCTGGACCTAAAGTATGTTTAGGGCTTCTCACCCCCCAAAAGAAAAAAATCAAAATCCCTGGATTTTGCAAGTCACAGTCTTGGAAGTTGATGGTATTCTGGGTCCAAATTGAAGAGGAAAAAAAATGCTTCCTCCACCTCTTGGAACACATAAGGTCAGTCATCAAAGAGAAAGTTTCTTCAGGATTTATAGAGAGCATCTTGTTGTGAGGAGGGAGATTATTCAGCTGTGGTACCACTGCCTCCTTACACAGCTGGTGGCTTGAGATCTCTTGGCAGCTTTTGTGCAGAGCAATGAGTACTTGGGCTTCTTTTAGAGGCAGCCACAAGGAACATGCCTTTTGAATCTCTGACATTAACCAGAATGGATAATTGCTCTCCCTGCTGCCAGCCTGCTTTACCTATCCGTACCTTTCCTTTTTAGAGAGGGACACTCAAAGCAGGACCTCCAAAGCTCACTGGAGAAACTCTCTGCACCCCCAGCTTTATCTTTGCAATGACTGTGTCTGCATACATCTGGTTTCTCATGTGTCTTGGTCGCTGTATCTGTTTTGGCAAGTCTGAGACTACCAGCTCAGCTTCCATACCAACACCATAGCAGACTCTTCTGTGTTTCCATCTACCCACGAAAAAAAATCCCCTCAAAACCCCAATCTATTTTCTACTCTCAGCAATCTTTGCTGCCAGTTCAGAACTGTGCTGCTCAGCATCTTGAAGGCTGAAAGGCTAGAGCGTGTAAGGAAAGACCACTCAGAAAAGAAAGAAAACCTGATGGTGGGCAAAAAATTGAAGAGGTTTCTTTCATTGGTATTCATGTCATGAAAGCCTGGGAGATTTCCACAGCAGAAACTTTCTTTATGGGAAGTTCGTAAAAGGACTGTCTCTGGTCCAAGCAGTAGCAGGATCAGCCATGGAGCAGCGAGATGAACTCAACAGTGTCTAAAACCACACGGCTCCTACCCCAGAGGTCTGAGAATAACTGAAGGGTGGAAGACCTGACTAATTGTGCCATAGAAACCTTTGCTTAAAACAGCTCTTAAAGGCAGACTCAATTTAAGA